CGCAATCTGGCGAACGTTTGAAAACACTTCTTATGTATATATACCATACATATATTATAACATGCATTTGGTTTTAGAAGTATTTCAATTTAGAAATATGCTATACTTTTCATTAAGACGACATCTTCCTTTCTTTTTTTTTTGTTTTGTTATAAGAGTTTAATTTTTAAAAATCAATATCCAGTCAATTGTCAAAATTCTTTATTCATGGTAATGCAAGCAATATTGCTTAACATCGAAAATTTGGAGTTTGTTTGTTACATTTGTTCCAGTTTGAATATATATATTTCAGCTTGAATTTTCCTTGTCCGTTGAAATTTTTCCTCGGAGATGTGACGTTGGAATTCGAATGTACAAAACGTCAGATGAAATTTGCACAATATTTAGTATATTTTTTGATTGGTAGGTTTCGATTGGTACGGGACGCAAAGTTTTGGAAAATGATTTGGAGAATTCATTGAGGAACATTTCACGAAAGACGAAGGTCCAGGAACAGGGAAGTCAGGAAGAGTGGTCGTCAAGTTTCCCACAAACGGAGCGTCGTTTGTGAGAAACGCCGCTCGTAACCGTACTTCCTATGCCATTCGTAGGTTTTTCCTTTGTACCGACTGCGTGGACAATGGGCCAACATTTTCAGTATTCGCAACGCTGAATCGGCCATTGTTCAACGTGGTCAGGTCAACGTGCGTCCGGAACAGCTAAAAACTCTCTTGTGGCAACTCGAAAGCGACTGGACCTGATCCATCTTCTGAATGGAAACTTTTTACACGGAATTAGTCTTACAAGCGATCATCCTGAAGCAAAAGTACATCAAGAACTACCGAACGTTCGTAAAATGGAAAATTATGTTAAACTATTACACACGAGATAGCCGATTTTATCGTATCAATTTGCTGAAACTTTCTGTTCAAGAAAAAAAATTTGTTTTCCAAATATAACTGACATATATATAAATGCTTTATTTTTTATTTAGTCTTAATTCTATAGAATCTAGTTGAAGTACGAATTCATACATTATAACCTATTATTTTATTATATACATACAATTTATTTCGTAACATCTCTAAAAATTTCAATTTGCAAATCCATTTTGCTTAAAAATATCTTTCTCGTTTCGAAGGTTAACGATTGGACGCAGCGCGGTCAGAAAAGGTGTGTCTTCGTCCACTTTTCGAGGCACTGTGACCACAACCCCCGGACAAACATTTAAGCCCGACGCGCATGTGTTCCCATAAAGTCAAGGGGGTAAGTGCACGCAGCATACGTTCTTATTCACGGTTCGACCCGGCGATTCGCGGTCGGCCAGTTTTCGAAGGGTCCGCAAATTGTTGGTTAGGGCTGAAAGCCAATCGAGGGAGGAGAGAACGGGGTCTCTGGGCGAACCGCGATAAGTGACATTAGTCCGTGATCGCTCGACCAGCGACGAACACGCGGTGTCTCGATTTACCCTTCCTCCCGTCAAGTCCAGACTAAAAATTTGAGATATCGATCGCGTCTATTAAAATAACTGCTAAAATACGAAATTGAAATATTTCACAGCGGCCGATGCTTTTGCGTGGAAAATTATATTGTATTTTTTATCCGAACTCCAGCCTAAAAACAATATCAAATGTAATATGTCAGATAACGAAATTCCTCAGTGAAAAATATTACGCCTAACTAATAATCAGCATGAAAACTATTGTATTTTCGATAACAGAGCCCCTTCGAAAGGTTTCGACAAAAAAAAGAATAATCGTAAATCATCGGAAAGTATAAGTTTCGAAGCGAAACCTCGTAAACGTCGTTCCTGCTCGTTAAAAGTCACTGCAGCTAATTCAATTAACAAGTGCCAATCTTCTATTCAAGGCACGTACCTTTGGAGGACACGCGTTCTAGGTCGCACTGGTAAACTCCAAGCCTAAGCTAATGATTATCGTTACATAAACAGCACGTTCCTCTTTGTCAATTGCGTCCATAAATCGTATCCGTGTTCTTCACGCTGTTCTAACGTAACAACCGTCAACACGAAGGAGAAGCAACGTGATCGAGAAGTACAATGTTCTCGCCTAGTCAGGGTCAAAGATTTCCACGGCAATTATTGGTAAACAATTCGTCCCTCGTGGGAGGTGTACCTATGACTTGGGGCTCG